CACATTGCCACATGTGCATCGGTCCTAGGACCATAATCACTTCCTCCTTAGCAGAGCCCAGGTTTCTCTAACACATCCGTTGTGAAAGAAGAGACTTTCTTTTGTCTCTGAAATAAATGGAAATCTGAATAATTGCAAAGGTCTTGCTTCCAACTAATGGGTGGGTTTCCCCAGAGAAAGAGCTGGCGACCTGCAGAAAAAGTCCCATGATAACTAAGGCAAGAGGGAGAGAATGGCAGAAAGGCTGAGGTCTGAAATGAGACAAAAATAATATAATTTGAAAAAGATAACAACAACAACAACCATAGTGATCTTGTTTGCTGTGTACTAATCTTGTGTTTCAAATAATAATAATAGTAATAATAATAATACTTTATTTATATTTCACTCTATCTCACCAAGGGGACTCACTTAGTCTTCGTATCACTTAGCTCTTCACCCAATTCCTTATCTAATGTTGCAGTTTCTGGCTCCTCAGACTGATCTTGAAGAATATATGGTTCTATAGCGATCTTGTTTGCTGTGTACTAATCTTGTTGCGTTTCTATTAATAATACTAATAATAATACTAATTATTATTATTATTATTAATAATAATAATAATAATAATAATAATAATATTCTGCTCTATCTCACCAAGGGGACTCACTTAGCCCTTCGTATCATTTAGCTCTTCGCCTAACTCCTTATCTAATGTTGCAATTTCTGGCTCCTCTGACTGACCTTGAAGAATATATGGTTCTATAGTGATCTTGTTTGCTGTGTACTAATCTTGTTGCGTTTCTATTAATAATCCTAATAATAACACTTATTATTATTATTATTATTATTATTCTGCTCTATCTCCCCAAGGGGACTCACTTAGCCCTTCGTTTCATTTAGCTCTTCGCCTAACTCCTTATCTAATGTTGCAATTTCAGGCTCCTCTGACTGACCTTGAAGAATATATGGTTCTATAGTGATCTTGTTTGCTGTTTTTCTCTAACTGCTAGGTTAGCAGGAGCTGGGGCTAACAGCAGGAGCTCATCCCTTCCCACATATTCGAATTGCCAATCTTCCAGTCAGCATCACAAGCAGCATAGTGATCTTGTTATGTATCAAATAATAATAATAATAATAATAATAATAATAATAATAATAATAATAAATTGTTATTTTGCGAAGGTCTCTAGCAAAACTCAAGGCCTTTGGGGGGAGTGCTGAAGTTTTGAAGAACTTCCTGTATGAGATTGAGTTCATTTTAGCTCCTTTGGGGAATGTTTTCTTCACAGTTCAGGTGAAAAGCTCTTGAAAATCAGGCTGAAGTGTCAGTGCTTCAAAATAAGTGGAAATCTGCATGCAGTTTTTTCCTCTGACCTGGAGCTAGGGTTGAAAAAAACTGGAAAACGTGCAAAAAACTGGAAAAATAAAGCATATTATTATTATTATTATTATTACTGAAACACAACAAGATGATTCCACAGCAGACACTCTGCCTGGAGATGACGCATCAGAACTGGAATATCAGGACTGACCTTGAGATCTACCAACTCCTAATAGTACTAATACTAATAGTACTAATAGTAGTAGTTGTCATTTTCATGATTACTGTGTGTCGTAATGTAAAATAAACTACGTGTAGGTCACATTTGATCAGCCCACACACTGCCTTTCCAGGGAAAGAAAATATGAACAGTAAAGAGGAAGTAGTTTACTCTTCTTAGTTCAGTACAACATTATGTACAGTGTGATCAGTTGCATCAACTCACATAATGTCCTTGTATGAGAGATTTAAAATAGTCTTTCCTTCTTCATATGGATAAATTCCTTCAGCAGTTCATGAAGCAAGAGTATACTCCCAAATCTCGTCTCTCTCTGCTTCTCTCTTCATCTCTCTACACTTGCATAGCTCAAGCCTGAACAAAAATGTAACAGTATCCAGAAGTCCCACTGTGCCGTTACACCCAGAGGTTATAAAAATAAACTAAGATGTGCTGCTCTCTATGTCTGAGTGAACTGCGAGTGTCTTTCTTTAGAAGTTTGAGATATTCAGCAACTGAGACTATTAAAGGCTTTTGAACATCAAAAAAGGAATATTTATTCTTCAAAGTCTTTTCTGCTTCCCTGGAGACTAGGATGCAACGGAACAATGGCTTAAACTACAAGAGAGGAGATTCCATCTGAACATGAGGAAGAACTTCCTGACTGTGAGAGCCGTTCAGCAGTGGAACTCTCTGCCCCGGAGTGTGGTGGAGGCTCCTTCTTTGGAGGCTTTTAAGCAGAGGCTGGATGGCCATCTGTCAGGGGTGATTTGAATGCAATATTCCTGCTTCTTGGCAGAATGGGGTTGGACTGGATGGCCCATGAGGTCTCTTCCAACTGAATGATTCTATCTTTCTTTCCTTTCCTTGAGTTACTAAGGTAACCTTTCCCCAAAATGGCAGGTAAGATTCTGGGATCTTTTCACCCTAACCCTGAGCTGCTATGGTTCAGAAAAAAGCAGGTTTTTCCCCTATCTATAGCTCAAGGTTAGCTTTGGAGATGAAGTAATGCTCAATATCTCAATACTAAATTTATCTGTGACTCAATCTTACTCAATATTTGTCTATAGTATCTCAATCTATATCTGTTTCTCAATATCTATCTATAATATCTCAATCTTCAATAGTCTTATTTGTTTATCGTGTCATCAGCAACCATACCATTGTATTACATTTCTAACAGAACAAAACAAACACACAGATTTAAAAAAACCCACAGATTTTGCAAACTTGGTAGTTGGTTAAATGTCCTTTGACCAGTATCTGGCCACTTGGAGTGTCTCTGGTGTTGCCGCAAGAAGGTCCTCCCTTGTGCATGTGGCAGGGCTCAGGGTGCATTGCAGCAGGTGGTCAGTGGTTTGCTCTCCTCCAAAACTCTAATGTCGTGGATTCTACTTTGTGGCCCCATTCCTTAAGATTGGCTCTGCATCTCGCGGTGCCAGAGGGGTTGAGGTGCTGGGTTGGAGCCTGCCACTTTTGGACTCTCGCTTGCTGAGGTGTTCCAGCGAGTGTCTCTGTAGATCTAAGAAAACTATTTCTTGATTTAAGTCGACGTCCTGGCTGATACCCAAACAGGGGATGAGCTGGAGATGTCTCTGCCTTGGTCCTTTCACTATTGGCTGCAACTTCCCGGCGGATGTCAGGTGGTGCAATACAGGCTAAACAGTGTAATTTCTCCAGTGGTGTAGGGCGCAGACACCCCGTGATAATGCAGCATGTCTCATTAAGAGCCACATCCACTGTTTTAGCGTGGTGAGATGTGTTCCACACTGGTCATGCATACTCAGCAGCAGAGTAGCATAGCGCAAGGGCAGATGTCTTCACTGTGTCTGGTTGTGATCCCCAGGTTGTGCCAGTCAGCTTTCGTATGATGTTGTTTCTAGCGCCCACTTTTTGCTTGATGTTCAGGCAGTGCTTCTTGTAGGTCAGGGCATGGTCCAAAGTGACTCCCAGGTATTTGGGTGTGTTGCAATGCTCCAGTGAGATTCCTTCCCAGGTAATCCTCAGAGCTCGGGATGCTTGTCTGTTCTTAAGGTGAAAGGCGCATGTCTGTTCAATAGTCTTAATAAGCTTAATATCTCAATATCTCAATAGTCTTAATAGTACTTACAATGATTCTCCCAGAGCTACCCTGACTAACCACCAGCACATCTGAAGTTCCTTCTCTAACTAAAGAGGCAGGGGACGGGAGATTCCACAATGGAGATCTCTTCCCTGGTAGAAAAGGCGGTCTCTAAAGCCCAAAAGATACTTTCTAAGTCAATAGCTGCAAAAAGCCTTCAGACTTGCTTTCCAGCCTCTGAAACTGTTAACTTTTAGGGCTCTGCAGAGCTGCAGCATCCCTGGGAGAAATGCAAGGGAAAGCAACTTCACGCAACTGTAAGGTAATGCAAATGAGGCTTCTGGGAGACGGAACACCCAGGCTGTTGGAGTTCAGCCTGTGATTGTGTTCCAGGATCAGCGTGCTTTGGATGTGGGAAGTGATGCCAATGAATTTCAAGATGGCAATGGTTTGGTCAATGATACGGATGCAGAGAAGGACCAGGTGACCCCTGTGCAAAGTGTAGTTTCCCATGAGAATGTCCCTGAAGGGTGTGGGGATGATGGTGTACTCCCTGAATTGCTACCAGAGAGTTCCCAGGATTTGGGGCTTGAAAACAACTGGGCACCTGGCCCAGCTACAAAACTTAATGAGCAAATAGATAGATGAGAGGAAATTAGTCAAAACAGATAGGCCGAGCAGTGCTTTCGGCGTTCTGCCAGGCTCCGAGAGAAAAAGATAAGGGGATCTCAAGTAAAGCGAAACCAATTCCTGAGTGTGTGGAAAAGCTTAAAGAGGGGATAAAAAGTTCCAAGTATGGGAAATATAGTCAGATGAAGCATCATTGAAATCAGGTGTAGTTTTCGTCCTTTGTTTCATGGAAGATTCTTGATTAAGTATTTCTTGTTCATGGTTTGGACTCTTGGAATGTATGAATGCCTACTCATGCCTTGGATTAATGTTTCCTGTTTCCCTGAATTATATTAAAGAAGTGTGGACTTTGTTTTCATGGATTTTGCTGAACTTTGCCCTGGACTATTTTTGCACCTGCTTATCTTCTTACCTAGTTGGATTTACCTATTTCTTTAAAGTGCTTTTTACTTGCTGTTTTTTAATTATCTTCAATAAAATGATTGTTTTCCAATCTATGGTGTGGTGCTTACAGTCAGAGGGCTTTTCTTGTCTTGGAGTGCAACACCGGCTCAGCCTACTACCCTGACATTCACCGACCAATCATCTTCATGCATCTTATTTTGCAGTTGACACACACTCACCGATTCCTATTGTTACTGGAGGAATGTGAGAAAATTATTCCTGGTTTGCCATTACAGGATCTTAAATAGTTAAGGTGGTAAAGCAGAGGAGAGTCAATCCAAATCTAGATGCACAAAAATATTTCATTTGGTCGTCTCATCTCTTTCTCCTTTCTGTTTGTTAAGACCCCTGCAAAAGCACCCACAATGACATGAATCGCGTTTGCCGGGTCAACCCTCGCACACGGCGCGCCGAGCTCCTCTCCCGACCCGAGAGCTGCCCCTTAAAGTGGGATCCGGTGTGTGGTGACGATGGGGTGACCTATGACAACGACTGCGTCATGGTGAGGTCTGGCGCCATTCGGGGAATCGAGATCCAGAAGGTGCGCTCCGGACAGTGCCTATTTCAAGGTAAGTAAACCTTGACATAAATTGTGGTGCATAGACATGGGTGTGAGTATGCATCGACGAGATAAACATAAAATGTTTCCCCCCAGGCCTGAAAACATGTATGACCACAGCAATATGCCTAAGTCCAGACAATAAGCAAACAATTTAAACTTCAAATATACTTGAATCCAAAACAAAAGGATTGACTTGAAACAAGAACCAGAGAACTCAGGCCTAGCTTCTCACTCAAATACTACGTTGCCTGAACTAACTTTTCGGTAAACACCTTGCCAATTAATAGCCACCCATGAACGCATTTATTCTCCCATGAATTATCTCCTTAACTTTCCCACATGTATTATTTTACTCTATTTATTATTGTCATTATTACATTTATTATTTACTCTATTTATTTTTGTTAATAATAATAATAATAATAATCTTAATTTATATCCCACCACCATCTCCGCAATGGGGACTGTCAGAGTGATGCCCCTGAGTCATGTACAGAGTACTTGAAGTTACTAGATCACACAGATTCACATAGCACACTGCAGTCTTCTTAAGTTTCAAAAATAATAAAGTTTACTGAAAGTATTTCAAGACACCACTACATCTCGGCGGCTGAAAATGGCAACTCACAAAGTACAGCACTAAACACACAGACAGTGAACATCTGCCCTCCTGCCTTATCTGTCTTCTAGCTGGTAAACTCCCTTTTCTTCCCAGAGCAAAGGAATTCCTGTTATCTCGTTTCAAGGACTCTACTCTCTCTGCCTCTAGTGACTACCATTCTAGCACACAGCTGAACATAACTGAATCCATTATTAACACATTGAAAAAGATATATATAATACTTCCAATTATCCTGGAAGCGGCTTACATGGGGCGAAGCCCGGACAACATGTTACAGCAAAATAACACCAAACCATAGACAATAAACATCATCAAAATTATATATATATATATATATATATATATATATATATACACACAATAACAAAATAACATTCTGATAAACACATTCACGATAACAGTGGGCGGGCCACATGTACAGGATAAAATGATTAAAAAACGCGAATAAGATAAAAATAGGATTTATTATTATTATTTTATTATTATTATTTTATTATTATTTATTACATTTATTATTTTATTCAATTTATTATTATTACAGTTATTATTTTGCTTTATTAGTATTGGAAAGATACGTATGCATGTTTACATTAAAGAAGGTTAGAATAATAGTTTAATCAGAGTTGGACAGTCTTACCTTAAATTACAGTTTTATGTAAATACTAGCTGCACCCGCCACGCGTTGCTGTGGCCAACCTTCCCTCCCTCTTTCTCTCCTCCCTTCCCTCTTTCCTTCCTTTCCTCTTTTTCTTTCCCTATCTCTCATCTTTCTTCCATCTCTACCTGTTTCTTTCCTCCTTTTTCTTTGCTCTTTGGTTACATCCTTCCTTCCTTCATTCCTTCCTTCCTTCCCTCTCTTTTTCCTTTCACTTTTTATTTCCTTCTCTCCTTCCTTGCTTCTCTTTCTTTCTTTCTTTCCCTCCTCTCTCCTTCTTCCTTCCCTCTTTCCCTCCTTCTCTCGTTACTTCTTGACTGTCCCTTCCATTTAATATTGTATTTATATCTTACATAGAAGGAAGGAAGGAGGGACATGAAGAAAGGGAAAAGGAAGGAAGGAAGGAAAAAGGGAGGGAGGGAAAGAAGGGAAGGAAGGAAAAGAAAGAAGGAGGGACAGGAAGGGAGGGAGGAAGGAGAAGAAGGAAGGAGGGAAAGAAAGGAGGGGGATGAAGAAAGGAGGGAGGGAAGGAAATGAAGGGGAAGGAAATGAAGAAAGGGAAAGAAGGAGGAAAGGGAGGGAGGAAAGGAAGAAGGAAGGAGGGACAGGAAGGAAGGGAAGGAGGGAAAAAAGGAAAGGAAGGAGAAGGAAAGAAGAAAAGGAAAGAAAGGAAAGGGAGGAAAGAAGGGAAGGGAGGGAGAGAAGGAAGGTCCTTCATTCAAGCCCCGTGGACCTTCCTCACCTCCTCCTCCTCCTCTTCCTCCTCCTCCTCCCCTTCTTCCTTGCGTGGAGCACTCCGTTGCTGCTGCTGGCACTTTCCATCAGGGAAAGGAGGAGGAGACTGCTCTCCTGACATAGGAGGGGAAGAGAAGGGGCTCCATGCAGCAAGCCTGTTTGTGTGTGTGGCCGTGCACGTGCGCCTGGCTTTAACGGCCGGCTGTTTCCCCGCGAGGAGGAGGAGGGGGCGTGGCCATGGGTCTCGGTAGACATGCAGTTTCTCCTTTGTGGACATGCAGTTTAGAAGTCCTTTCTGCTTTTGGTTTTCGTTGTTTTTTTGAGTGGAGAACATACATTGGGTTGTTAGGGACATAGTGTCCAAATTTGGTGTCAATTGCCCCAGTGGTTTCTGAGTTCTGTGAATAGCACAAACGAACATTACATTTTTATTTATATAGATTCCAAATTATTTAACCTACGGATGCCTCAATTAATGTAGTTTTGTTAGTATCTATTTTTATTTTGAAATTGACCAGTAGCTGCTGCATTTCCCACCCTCGGCTTATACTCGACTCAACACATTTTCCCAATTTTTTGTAGTAAAATTAGATGCCTCGGCTTATATTCGGGTCGGCTGATACTCGAGTATATGCAGTATTTCTACCTTTGCTGTTTTTAGACAAGTGCAAGGACGAGTGCCGCTTCAATGGGGTGTGCCTCAACCGTCGGGGGGCTCCCCGCTGCTCCTGCGAGCGCATCGCCTGTGACGGCTCTTACCGGCCTCTCTGCGGCAGGGACAGCCGAACCTACGCCAACGACTGCGAACGCCAGAAGGCCGAGTGCCAGCAGAGAGCCGCCATCCCGATCAAACACCAGGGCCCTTGTGGTAAGTGGCATGGTTGTGGTTGTCTTGTAGTGGCAAGGGTGGGGAAGGATGAGGTGGGACCCAACTTTTCAGGTTGTTCTGCCTTCTTGAAAAATGAAAACAACACAATTCCTCTTTTCGATCACCGACTATGGCCAGAAAAATATTTATCCATTTGATACAAGTGGAAGAGATAATCGTCGCCTCTAATTCTCCCGCTCTGATGTTATCCTGGTTTTTTTCCTTCCTCCCATCTTTCTTTCCTCCCTCTTTGTCAAAGAGGAATGTTTGCATAACAGTGTCTGGAGTGTTCAGTCTGTTACATTTGTGCATCTTCCATATACTCTGTCCATTCGTCCATCCATTTCTTCCTCGGCTCTCTGATCGCCATACTCGCCAATAGCAGCTCTCATGGCTCCGTTCGGTTTGTTGTCGATTCATTCATGGCCACCAAGCCCCATATTCCCCTGCTTGCTTTCTCCCATTTCGTTTCCCCCTTGCAGACCCTTTTTTTCAGTTTACAGGTGTGATCTGTAAGCCGTGATTCCTGGCGGTGTCTTTTCTTGTCTGTCTCAAACTTGCGGAGGGGAAAAAAACCACACAAAGCAGGTATTGATTTCCCTAGAGAGGACTCAAGTCTTGTCAGCCTTGGAACCAATTTTTAGCACGAAAGCCTCGGCGCTGAAATGGGAAAAACAGACGAGAAGGGTTCGTTTGTTCATTCGTTTGTTTGTTTGTTCGTTCATTCTACTCATTTATATGCTGCTGTTCCGTATGATGGACAAAATGATTTACAATATAATAAACGAACCCTTGGGATTACTGTTCAAAATAAAACCTAATGAGCAAGCTAGACAACCGAAAGTGTAGAAATCAAACCCTATGGGAATGGGTTTAAAGAGTGGGTGCGTTTACCTTGGAGAAGGCAAGACTGAGAGTTGGTATATTAGCCATCTTTAGACACTTAAAGGGATGTTAGGTATTTTTTGCAGCTCCAAAGACTGGAGTATAATTCCGTGGAGTCAAATTAGAGGATCTCTTGATTGTAGGAGCTGTTTGACAGTGGAATAAACCACTTTAGAGGTCTCCAAATAGAGACTGCATGACCATCATTTTGGGAATGCTTTAGATATCAATTCCTCTATAGCAGAGGGTTGGAGTCGAAGCCCTTTTACCGAATCTGTTGCACCCCAGGCCTGGAAACACATATGACCACAGCACTATGCCTAAGTCGAGAATGTAAGCAAACAATTTAAACTTCCAATATACTTGAATCCAAAACAAAAGGATTGACTTGAAACAAGAACCAGAGAACTCAGGCCTAGCTTCTCACTCAAATGCTACGTTGCCTGAACTAACTTTTGGGTAAACACCTTGCCAATTAATAGCCACCCATGAAAGCATTTAGTCTCCCATGAATTCAAATGAATTCAAATGAAAATAAAACATTTTTTTTAAATCGTGTCAGGAGCAACTTGAGAAACTGCAAGTTGCTTCTGGTATGAGAGAATTGGCCGTCTGCAAGGACGTTGCCCAGGGGACGCCCGGATGATTTGATGTTTTTATCATCCTTGTGGGAGGCTTCTCTCATGTCCCTGCATGAGAAGCTGGAGCTGAGAGAGGGAGCTCATTCGCCTCTCCCCAGATTCGAACCTGCGACTTGTCAGTCTTTAGTCCTGCCAGCACAGGGGTTTAACCCACTGTGCCACCGAGGGCTCAATAAAACATTAAAACAGAGCAAGTTGCTTTTTCACATATCATTGGTCTATCTAACTCAGCAATATCTATGCCAGTGGTTCCCAACCTTTTTTTTTACCAGTGACCACTTGACCAGGGACCACTTTGACCAGGGACTTACTTGACTAGGGACTGCTTTGACCAGGAACCACTTGAACAAGGACTGCTTTGACTAGGGACCACTTTGACCAGGGATCACTAGACCAGGGACCACTTGACCAGGGACAACTTTGACCAGGGATTACTTTACCAGGACCACTTGATCAGAGTCTACTTCATCAGGGACCATTTGACTAGGGATGACTTAGCCAGGGACCACTTTGACCAGGGACCGCTTGACCAGGGACGACTCTGACCAAGGACTACATGACCAGGACCACTTGAACAGAATCTACTTCACCAGGGACCACTTGACTAGGGACCACTTTGACCAGGAACCAATTTGACCAGGGACCACTTTGACCAGGGACCACTTGAACAGGGACCACTTGCCCAGGGACCACTTGAAAAGGGACCACTTGCCCAGGGACCACTTTAACCAGAGACCATTTGAACAGGGACCACTTAAACAGAGACCACTTTGATGAGGGACCACCTTGGCCAGGGACCACTTGGATCAGGGACCATTTGATCAGGAACCACTTGACCAGGCAACACTTGACAAGGGATCATTTGACAAGGACCATTTTGACCAGGGACCACTTTGACTAGGGACCACTTTGACCAGGGAACACTTCACCAGGGACCACTTGAGCAGGGTCTCTAAACTGGAAGAAAGACAGGATGAGAATGAAGCAAATAATAAATAACTGGCCGGCCCATCTGGTTCGGTATTCTACACCCTGACTTCTCCAAGGTTGCAGTCATTTTCCCCGGTCCTAATGTTATGGCTTGAAATTATGTCCTTCTGCATACAGAACATATATTTTATCATGAAGTTACATCTCCCTTTTTGTAAACAGTTAGAGATATCAGCAGCAGAGACTAGGATCCTGTCTAGGTATTGGGTAATATGCTAGCAGTTGAACTTCCTTTTGTGGGAGGCAGTGACAGGAGAAGAAAGGAGCTGTCTCCAGGCTACCTCAAGGTGGAGAAGCTTCAAGCTTGGCCTCTAACTTTTACTTGTCCCATGGCACCATCGGAGGCCAGGAGACCATCTGGTTCAGCCGTTCCTTGGTTGTTCTTCCCCTTCTCCACTCCCGGTTCAGATTTGGTTTAGCTGTTCTCTTGTGTCTATGTCTCCTTCAATGGACATGCCACACTCTTCTTGCTCCCGTTCCTGGAAGATGTCATCAGCCAGGATTTTAAAAGTCTCCCCAACCCACCCACCCACCCAGATATTTTAAGCCAGCGCTTGAAGGCTACTAACCAAGTTGCCCCAGAGCTGAGCATGCCCTTTGTCATACCAAGGAAACATCACCCTCTTTCCATCTCCTGACCCTGGGATATAGGGAGACCTTTGCTCCCTATTCACGTCTAGCTGAAGGTAACGTTCTTGCTCTACAGCTTCTGGCAAGGACCTTTAGCTCTGTGGCTGAGCACATATCTTTCAGTAAAGACGTCAGCCTCCATTCTTACGAGGGTTGAATGAAAAGTAATGTCTCCACCTTCGTAACTCCTCAACAGATGGTAGTACTGGTATGCGGCAGGTACTGGCTTGTTCAGTAGACTCTCCTCTACAGTCCCATTTTGGCAAGAAGCCTTAGCATTGAATGGTTGTGTTGTTAAAGTGAAAAGTAATGCCTCCACCTTAGTAACTCCTCAACAGATGGCATTACTGGTATGCGGCAGGTACTGGCTTGTTCAGTAGACTCTAATCTGCAGTCCCTTTTTGGCGGGAAGCCTTAGCATTGAACGGTTGTGTTGTTAAAGTGAAAAGTAATGCCTCCACCTTAGTAACTCCTCAACAGATGGCATTACTGGTATGCGGCAGGTACTGGCTTGTTCAGTAGACTCTAATCTGCAGTCCCATTTTGGCGGGAAGCCTTAGCATTGAACGGTTGTGTTGCTAAAGTGAAAAGTAATGCCTCCATCTTCGTAACTCCTCAACAGATGGCAGTACTGGTATACAGAAAACCATATTTAGTAAGCGTTGGCACTATAGGAGGGTTTCACGAGATTAGTGGCTCCCATTGAAACGGTGTAGTAATGGTGAGGCTTGTGGACCACTGGTGGTCCATAGACCACAGGTTGGGAACCACTGAACTAGAGTGTGAGACACCTTGGGTCCCCATGAGGAGAAAGATTGTTGGGGAATCTGAGCTGTTAGGCTCAAAAATAACCCTCAGTTGGGGTGATTCCGCCACAAATCTAGCAGAGTATCAGAAGTAAACTTCATCACCAGCAGAAACTTACACGTGATGAGCTGGGATAAGCTTCTATTCCTTAAGGTGGATCAAGATTGCAGGGTCAGAACTTTAGGTTCCAAAATATTTATTGAAGTAGAATAAATACATTCATGATAGAAAAGGTCTGACTAAATCTCATCTTCTAAAGAGGTAAAAGGGTTAAAAGTCCATGCAGCTACATTTTGCCTGGAGAGGGGCAAAATGCGGCTCCTCATGGGTAGAAAGAAAAGCAGAAGAGACTAAAAAATGGACTTTGGAGGATGGCGAGGGAGTCCAAAGCGATGTCTGTCTTCTCCTCCCCTCCTCCAGTCTTTCTTTTTCTCCTCCTTCTCTCTGTCCTGTCCCTTTCTTTTCTTTTCTTTCTTTCCGTTGTGTGTCTTGTGTCTTCCAGCGTTGCCTGTTTGGAGAAAGGACGTCCGCCCACACAGCGCCGCGCCGTACCCTACCGGGATGTTTCTGCTCCGAGGTCGGCTTTCTATCCTTCCTCTCCCCACACCTTAAGCTCTGCCCCAGGCACTTCGTCCTCTTCTCTTCTCTCTCAGCCCCTCCATTTGTACCAGAACATGGAAAGAAAGAAAGAAAGCTCTATTGGAATGCACCTTTTTGAGCTTTGATAATGCTTTGCACCACTCCACCCTACCCAGGAGTTCATGAAGATTTATTTTCCTCTTTTCTCCCTTCCCTCCACCCTGCAAGCTCCCATTAACAACCTTCCCATGCCACCAACTCCATCAGGTCATACACTTGGGCTGCTCCTAGTTGGTTTATAATCTGTCACCCTGCTTGGCTTCCTGGAGCTGTCATGCTCTCCTCCATTGTTTAACATGTTTGTACATCTCTGTCTTTGTGGATGCATGCATGAAAAGCACAATGGCTACTGATTCTCTGGAACTTTGGAGAAGAAATCGAGCATGCTCTGGGTGCTCCCAATGTTCTCTTCTGCCACAGAATGGAGTCATGGCATGCAGCATTGCTTCCAGTGACAGACGAGAAGGAAGAAGCTTTTGGGTTGGTTGGGCGTTGTATATATATTGTGGTTTTTCAACCCTGTTTGCTCCCTGTCTCAGTTTTTGAGAGCATTGTAGAAGACCTAAGAGACATGGGTCCCAATCTCTTGTAGAAGACCTAAGAGATATGGGTTGCAGTATCTTGTAGAAGACCTAAGAGATATGGGTTCCAATCTCTTGTAGAAGAACCGAGACATTGGTCCCAATCTCTTGTAGAAGGCTTAAGAGGTATGGGTCCCAATCTCTTATAGAAGACCTCAGAGATATGGGTCCCAATCTCTTGTAGAAGTCCCAAGAGACATTGGTCCCAATCTCTTGTAGAAAACTTAAGAGGTATGGGTCCCAATCTCTTGTAGAAGACCTAAGAGATATGGATTCTAATCTCTTATAGGAGACCTTAGTGATATGGATTCTTGTAGAAGACCTAAGAGAGATGGGTCCCAATCCCTGGTAGAAGATCTAAGAGACATGGGTTGCAATATCTTGTAGAATACCTCAGAGATATGGGTCCCAACCTCTTGTAGAAGACCCGTGATATGGATTCCAATCTCTTGTAGAAGTCCTAAGAGATATGAATTCCAATCTCTTGTAGAAGACCTCAGAGATACGGGTTCCAATCTCTTGTAGAAGACCTCAGAGATACGGGTTCCAATCTCTTGTTGAAGACTTAAGAGGTATGGGTCCCAATCTCTTGTAGAAGAGACATTGGTCCCAATCTCTTGAAGAAGACTTAAGAGTTATGGGTCCCAATTTCTTGTAGAAGACCTAAGAGATATAGGTTCCATTCTCTTATAGAAGACGTCAGAGATATGGGGTTCCAATCTCTTGTAGAAGACCTAAGAGATATGGGTGCCAATCTCTTGTAGAAGACCTCAGAGATATGGGCCCAATTTCTTGTAGATGACCTAAGAGATATGTCCCAAACTCTTGTAGAAGACCCCAGAGAGACGAATTCCAGTCTCTTGTAGAAGATCTCAGACATATTGGTTCCAATCTATTGTAGAAGACCTATGAGACATGGGCCCGAGTCTCTTGTAGAAGACCTAAGAGGCATAGGTCCCAGTCTCTTGTAGAAAACTTAAGAGGTATGGGTCCTAATCTCTTGTAGAAGACCTCAAGAGATATGGGTTCCAATCTTTTGTAGAAGACCTATGTAACATGGGTCCCAATCTCTTGTAGAAGACCTCAGAGATATGGATCCCAATGCCTTGCAGAAGACCTCAGAGATATGGGTCCCAATCCCTTGTAGAAGACCTAAGAGATATGGGTCCCAATGCCTTGCAGAAGACCTAAGAGATATGGGTTCCAATCTCTTGTAGAAGACCTAAGGTACATGGGTCCCAATCTCTTGTAGAAGACCTCAGAGATATGGGTCCCAATCTCTTGTAGAAGACCTCAGAGATATGAGTCCCTGTCTCTTGTAGAAGACCTAAGAGGCATGGGTCCCAGTCTCTTGTAGAAGACTTAAGAGGTATGGGTCCTAATCTCTTGTAGAAGACCTAAGAGACATGGAGGCTAATCCCTTGTAGAAGAGATATGGGTTCCAATCTTTTGTAGAAGACCTATGTGACATGGGTCCCAATCTCTTGTAGAAGACCTAAGAGATATGGATTCCAATCTCTTGTAGAAGACTTCAGAGATATGGGTCCCAATCTCTTGTAGAGGAACTAAGAGATATGGGTTCCAATCTCTTGTAGAAGACCTCAGAGATATGGAACATTCAGCCCAGAAAACTCACAGCAACCCAGTTTGCCACCTTACCGAGATCTCGACCCAGGTGCTGCAAATATCTATCTCTCTATCTATCTTGAAGTTCATGCATCATGATCATCTGTCTTCCCTTTCTATCTGATTGTCTTCTTTTCCATGTTTTGTTCTTTTCTTCCTCTGTTCCTCTTCCTCACTCCTCCTCGCCCTTGGCTGTTGCTTGATCCTGATTGAATGTGGTTTCTCCAGCGCTACTTTCAGCTTTTCTCTTTTGGCCTGTGAGCAAACTCAGATTCCGCAATGCCAGCTTTCTGCCCATGGTAGCAGAAGCAGTGTCTTTCCCTGCACCTTTGATCCTTTTGCCTGCAGGTTGCATGAAGAAGACGGATTCCGTTGTTGTTTCCCTTTGAGCAAGAGAGACTGGTTTAAGAGATGGATCTATCTCCCACTTGCTTTAGGGTGACATTGAGACGGAAAGTGGGGTGAAGTATAACCTAAGGGGAGTCTAGCACCTCCTGCAATGGTGTGGATAAAGTTCTCTTTCACGGTGATTCATTCAAGCACAAAACTTGGCTCCGGTCTGAGAATCACGGCTTCTTGCTGTTATTTAATCAAATTTGCAGCCATCATGAAACAAGAGAGACAGGCCGATCATATCACAGAACGTAAGCATGAGCAAGATTTCAGGGGAGAACCAGAAACTAGCAAATATGCACATATTAACAACGACAACAACAACAACAATGATATTAATGATTGTAAAGTTGTAAACAATGATAGTAAATAGTAAAAGTGGTCCCAGTGGTGATTGGCACACTGGGTGCAGTGCCTAAAGACCTTGGCCTGCACTTAAAAACAGTCGGTGCTGACAAAATAATGATAATTCAATATTAATATTATAATTCAATATTATAATTATAATTATATATTTACATTACATGTAATATTACTAATAATATTACAATATAATGGTATAGTGCAATATAGTAATATATACTGATATTGTACTATGCTAATAATATAATATATTGTATGAAAATATATATTGTAAGCCACTCTGAGTCCCCTTCGGGGTGAGAAGAGCAGCATATAAATGCCATAAATAAATAAATAAATAAATAAATAAATAAATAAATAAAATCGCCATTTATCAGCTGCTAAAGACTACTTGGATCTGCACATATTATTCACACAGTCCTAGACACTTGGGCAGGGTCCAATGTTTGATCCAATGCAAAAGCCATCATAGTGATCTTGTTTGCTGTTGTATCTAATGATAATAATAATAATAATAATGTGCTATGCTAATAATATAATGTAATGTAATATAATATATTGTATATACATATATTTATAATATTATAATGTAATGCAATATAATACTACTACTAATAAAAATATATTATAATTATGTATTTATATTACATGTAATATTAGAACAATATAGTAATATGTAATACTAACATTGTACTATGCTAATAATATAATATATTGTATGTATGTATGTATGTATGTATATCTTGTAAGCCGCTCTGTATCCCCTTCAGTGTGAGAAGGGTGGCATATAAATGTCATAAATCAATCAATCAATCAATCAATCAATAAAATACTTTATTTATATTCTGCTCTATCTCCCCAAGGGGACTCACTTAGCCCTTCGTATCACTTAGATCTTCACCCGATTCCTTATCTAATGTTGTAGTTTCTGGCTCCTCTGACTGACCTTGAAGAATCCCTGATCCTATGATTCTATAGTGATCTTGTTTGCTGTGAGCTAATCTTGTTGTGTAAATAATAATAATAATAATAATAATAATAATAATAATAATAATAATCTTTATTTATATCCCGCTCTATCTCCCTAAGGGGACTCAATTAGCCCTTTGTATCACTTAGCTCTTCACCCGATTCCTTATCTAATGTTGTAGTTTCTGGCTCCTCTGACTGACCTTGAAGAATCTATGGTTCTATAGTGATCTTGTTTGCTGTGAACTAATCTTGTTGTGTATCTAATAATAATAATAATAATAATAATAATAATAATAATCTTTATTTATATCCCGCTCTATCTCCCCAAGGGGCTCACTTAGTCCTTCCTATCACTTAGATCTTCACTCAATTCTTTATCTAATGTTGCCGTTTCTGGTTCCTCTGACTGACCTTGAAGCCCTGCACTTTCTGAGTCAGGTTTTTCCCAGAGAGAATAATCATTTCTCTGACTTGAAACTTCCTCGCTTTGTGCCCCAGGAAGACCCACAGGAAAGCCCACAATCCCTTCTAAATCATCAGTGAACCCATCATCCTGACTGGTAGAACTGATTGTAATTTAGTCATAGTTCCAAACAAGCTTTGGCACATTGGGTTCGATGGCAGAAGTGCGCAGCTGTAAGTTTTCAGGGTTGATTCTGCTTGTTTAATTCTCACCGTTGGAAGGTGAATGGGCTGGAGATGCTCGTAAACAACAGTGCAGCTGATCACTGAAGGCTCTTCTCTCTTCTGATTCAGATCTTGGCACCCCGAGCCCCTGCCTGAGTGTCGAGTGCACATTTGGGTCGACCTGCGTGGTGAAGAACCAGGAGGCGGTGTGCGAATGCCAACAGGTGTGCCAAAGTCTCTACGATCCGGTCTGCGGCAGCAACAACCTCACGTATGGCAACCCCTGTGAGCTGGAGGCCATGGCTTGTGCCCTCAGGAAAGAGATCCGAGTGAAACACAAAGGCCCTTGCGGTGAGTTGTTTATTTATTTACAGTACTTATATTCCGCCCTTGTCTTCCTTTGGACATCCTTTCAGATTTTTAAACATGTTTCCTCTTGATCTTCTCTTCTGCAGGCTAAACAAGATCAAAATCAAGCCAATAATAATAATAATAATAATTATTATTATTATTATTATTATTATTTTATTTATTTATCATGTCATCCGCAACCAGAAACAAAACAAACAGACTATAAAAAAACACAAATTTTGCAAACTTGGTAGCTGATTAAATGTCCTTTGACCAGTATCTGGCCACTTGGAGTGCCTCTGGTGTTGCCGCAAGAAGGTCCTCCATCGTGGATGTGGTTGCACTGCAGCAGGTGGTCAGTGGTTTGCTCTTCTCCGCACTCGCATGTCGTGGATTCCACTTTGTGGCCCCATTTCTTGAGGTTGGCTCTGCATCTCGTGGTGCCAGAGCGCAGTCTGTTCAGCGCCTTCCAAGTCGCCCAGTCTTCTGTGTGCCCAGGGGGGAGTCTCTCATCTGGTATTACCCACGGATTGAGGTGCTGGGTTTGAGCCTGCCACTTTTGGACTCTCGCTTGCTGAGGTGTTCCAGCGAGTGTCTCTGTAGATCTTAGAAAACTATTTCTTGATTTAAGTCGTTGACGTGCTGGCTGATACCCAAACAGGGGATGAGCTGGAGATGTCTCTGCCTTGGTCCTTTCACTATTGGCTGCTACTTCCCGGCGGATGTCAGGTGGTGCGATACTGGCTAAGCAGTGTAATTTCTCCAGTGGTGTAGGGCGCAGACACCCCGTGATAATGCGACATGTCTCATTAAGAGCCACATCCACTGTTTTAGCGTGGTGAGATGTGTTCCACACTGGGCATGCATACTCAGCAGCAGAGTAGCATAGCGCAAGGGCAGATGTCTTCACTGTATCTGGTTGTGATCCCCAGGTTGTGCCAGTCAGCTTTCGTATGATTGTTTCTAGCACCCACTTTTTGTTTGATGTTCAGGCAGTGCTTCTTGTAGGTCCGAGAACGGTCCAGAGTGACTCCCAGGTATTTGGGTGCGCTGCAATGCTCCAGTGGGATTCCTTCCCAGGTAATCCTCAGAGCTCGGGATGCTTGTCTGTTCTTATGAAAGGCACATGTCTGTGTTTTGGATGGGTTGGGGATCAGCTGGTTTTCCCTGTAATAGGCAGTAAGGCACCTAGAGCTTCGGAGAGCTTCTGTTCAACCATCTCAAAGCTCCCTGCTTGAGCGGTAATGGCGGTAATAATAATAATAATAATAATAATAATAATAATAATAATAATACTTTATTTACTTTTCACCCTTCTTCCTGTGGGGACTCAGAGTGGCTTACAGTGTAAACAGATACCAGCAAACATTCAATGCCTTGTTGTAATACAATGAGACACACAAACAAAGGCAAAGGCTTCTCCTTTCATTTCTGGCTTTGAGGGCGGTGCCCATCTCTGGCTCTGAGGGAGGTGATTTCTCCATTTCCAAACCGAGCATCCTGCCTTGTCACCTCCTGGTCGTGTGACTGGCATGATTGCTTGGAGCGTCTTATGCCTTTCCTGCCAAAGCAGTACCTATTGATCTAATCAAGGTGGTCAGTTGAAACATTCACCCCTAGCTCCAGCAGACAAGAGTCCTTTGTCCCACCCTGGTCATTCCACAGATATATAAACCCTTTTTAACTAGTTCCAACAGACCTCACTACCTCTGAGGATGCTTGCCATAGATGCAGGCAAAACGTCAGGAGAAAATGCCTCTAGACCATAGCCATATATCCCGAAAAAAACTTACAATCCATTATTATTATTATTATTATTATTATTATTATTATTATTATTATTGAACTGCTGGGTTCGCAGGAACTAGGGCTAACAGTGGGAGCTTGCCCCATCCCACAGATTTTGACTGCCAACTTTTGGGTCAGCAATTCAGCAGCACAAGGGTTTAACCCTTGAAGTCATGCCCATTTATGTTTAGTAAGAGATGCTCAGACTTCCTTTAGGTCCCAGTTTATTATAAGTTTGTAAACATAGAATCATTAAGTTTGAAGAGACCTACAAGGGCCATGCAAGAGTATGCAAAATACCATCAGTTTAGTGTACAGAATATGGGGGAAACCTGCCTCCAGAAGCTTACAGTGTCGAATTCAATCTTGGATGGTGAGAGTAAGAGCGAGTGACTCACTCTCTGAAATAGTTTGGCTGCCAAGAGGGCGGAGAAATTCCACGCCTTGCAAGCCTATCTTGGCAGAAACCTTTCTTTCTTGGCTTAACTGTTTGCATTTGCAGCTTCTTGCATTCAGTAAACAAACGGCATGAAATCTTCAGGTGACAAGAAACACGGGAGAGGAACAAAGCCCGGCTCGCTTGAGCCCTGGCTATGGAGCAGCTTGCTTCTGGCTGCCGGTCAAAGCGGCCATGGTTACTTAACAGCCAAGCCGGATTTCAGGTGACTCCAAATCCCTGCCCGATACTTTCCCTGCCCCTTCCGATGTCCTAGCAACGGAGTGTGACTGGCTTCGGCTTCGGTGAATTGGCATCGCAACAGGGAACGATCTTGTGGGGATACAGATGGGGAAACTATGGCTAGGTTTTCGTGCCAGAGCACACATTACCAGCATACCCTTGTACAGTGGGTTGGGTGCAGCAACTGACTGTGCCGTGCCAATTCCCAGCTGTAATTAAATTGGCAGGCGACACGGAGAAGGTAGGTTGAGGCTCCGGGTGCAGTTTCTTGTGCACTTTGATCACTCTGTGAATACTGGATCTTTGTCAACACAGGAGGACAGAAGGTTGACTTCTCCTACGCCAAGCCAGTCATCCATGTATTGGAAATGTAACTCCTTGTTTTCAAAGAGCTCTGCCTTCTGACACAGAGGAGAGCTGCATCCCTTAGAACTAAGTGACATTAACAGATTCCAAACTGGAAACATTGTTAGATGCACAAAAAAAAAGATCCACCCAGAGGATAATCTCTTTTCCTGTCCTCCCAACATTCCGTTTTCCATTCTTGAGTTCGGAGTAGAGCAACTGCTTTGGGAGACGGTGGTCAGGCATCCGGACAACGTGGCCAGTCCAGCGGAGTTAATGGCGGAGGATCATCGCTTCAATGCTGGTGGTCTTTGCTTCTTCCAGCATGTTGACATTTGTCTGCTTGCCTTCCCAAGAAATTTGCAGGATTTTCCAGAGGCAGCACTGATGGAATCATTCCAGGAGTTGCATGTGACATCTGTAGACAGTCCACGTTTCGCAGGCGTATAGCAGGGTTGGGAGGACAATAGCTTTATAAACAAGCACCTTGGTATCCCTACGGATGTCCCAGTCCTCAAAGACTGTCTGTTTCATTTGGAAGAATGCTGCACTTGCAGAGCTCAGGCAGTGTTGTATTTCAGTGTCAGTGTTGACATTTGTGGAGACGTAGCTGCCACAGCAGGGTTGGGAGTACAATATATTTATAAACAAGCACCTTGGTATCCCTACGGATGTCCCGGTCCTCAAACACTCTCTGTTTCATTCGGAAAAATGCTGCACTCGCAGAGCTCAAGCAGTGTTGTATTTCAGTATCAATGTTGACATTTGTGGAGACGTGGCAGCCACAGCAGGGTTGGGAGGACAATAGCTTTATAAGCAAGCAGCTTGGTATCCCTACGCATGTCCCGGTCCTCAAACACTCTCTGCTTCATTTGGAAAATTGCTGTGCTTGCAGAGCTCAGGCGGTGTTGTATTTCTGGGTCAATGTTGACTTTTGTGGAGAGGTGCCCGCCACAGCAGGGTTAGGAGGAGAATGGCTTTATATACAAGCACCTTGGTCTCCCTACGGATGTCCTGGTCCTCAAATATTCTTTGCTTCATTCGGAAAAATGCTGCACTCACAGAGCTCAGGCGGTGTTGTATTTCGGTGTCGATGTTTACTTTGTATACACATAATAAAAATGAAAATATGTACAGTAGAAACTCGCTTATTCTACTTTTGCTCATCCAACATTCTGTATTATCCAACGCAGTCTGCCCCCCCCCCCCCCATCAAGATCCACAGCTGTTTCAATACATTGTGATGTTTTGGTGCGAGGGAGGAAGGGAGGGAGGGAGGAAGGAAAGAGAGGAGGAAGGAAAGAAGTAAGGAGGAAAGAGAGATAGAGAGAGAAGGATATTTCAAAGCTCTCTGCTTGAACGTTGATGGCAGGATCATCAGCATAGATGAAACTCTCTGCATTAGTGAGTGAGACTTTCTACCCTGTGTTCTCAAGTGAGATTCATCAGTCAGTGTCAAGAGAAATGCAGGTCTCTGTGGTTGAGATCCTGTATGACACAGGGCAGCTTAATAGTTCGGCTACAAGATACATAAGGCGCACTTGTATCTCAGTTTACCAGTAGCAGGATGCTACCTCCCAGCCTCCCATCTCCAGTCCAGAAATCTAACTAGCCTTTTTTTCAGTCTGTATCATTTTCACAAGCAAAATTGCTGGGGATGCAAACGAAAGTTGGCTTAGTGTTGACCCCGGCTTTGGAGCTGCCCTATTCCTTCCTTCTCCTTTAGCTAAGCAGGTGAAGATTTTATTAAAAAGGAAGACAATTGACCCGATGCTGGCGCCGAGGCTTGTTAACCGCTGCTGCTGCGCTTTTCTGAGGGTCGCGTTGTCAAATTGTGTTATTAACCTAATCTAACGCAATTTAACGCTTGATCTTGTCTCGTGCTCCGAACGGCGCTTTCCTTTATTTAATATTTCTCTCCCCTTTGGGAGAAAGACAAAGGGATAAATCCAATCAATAAATATGCAACAGTTTCACCGCTTTGCAGAGCTCGGCCCCGACAGGAAGATCAGGCGGTCAGAGTCCCCCCATGCGGGATCTGGGATCCCAAGCGATCCTTAAGCGATCCCTCGTTGTCCGAGTAGGATAGTCCTCCAGATGGTGGGTCTGTAGGTGACTGTGGAGCCCTCTTCTTGATCTGTATTGTCTCCTGCAGTGAGGGCATCGGTTTCCAGACGGAAGGCGGTCC